CCCCAAAACCCCAAAACCCCGCACTTAGAATATAGATAAAGATTATTGGATGATAGAAATATAAAGATTTAATGCAGATTGATTTCTATTATAAATATAAAAATCAAAATGCCGTCGTAAAATGAACACATGAAAGATGAATCTAATGGAAATGACTTCCATGAGTTATTCAATGATTTGAAACTCCATGAGCCACTCAAGAAAATAGATGTATTAAACACACTAATACCAATTTATTGTCATATTAATTTGATTTTATTAGGATAAATGGAAGCTTGTGCCAGCTTTCCTAAGGCTTAGAGGGCTAGTTAAGGCTCACATAGATTCCTTCAATCACTTTTTAAATGTTGACATTAAAGAAATAATGAGAGCGAACTAGCTTATAAATTCAGACATTGATCCTACGTTTTATCTCAGATTTACTGATATCAACGTTGGTTTCCCAAAGATTGAAGAAGATTTTGAGCAACATAATCTAATGCCCCATGAATGCAGAATTAGAGATTTGACATATTCAGCACCGATTCATGTTGATATTGAATATACTAAAGGTGATCGAATCTTTCTAAAAAATTAAGTCCTCATCGGAAGAATGCCAATGATGCTTGGAGCATCAAACTGTTGGTTGAATGGTATGGATCATGACAGACTAGCTGCTATCAAAGAATGCCCCTATGACCCCAGAGGATATTTCATCATCAAAGGAGTTGAGAAAGTGCTTCTTATTCAAGAGTAAATGTCTAAAAACAGAATCATCATTGAACTTGATTCTAAACAAAATGTCTGTGCTTAGGTCACATCCTCTACTTATGAAAGAAAATCAAGGACCACTATAGTGCACAAGAATGATAAATTTTATCTGAAACACAATACATTTACTGATGATATTCCTGTAGTAGTGGCTTTTAAGGCAATGGGCATGGAAACTGATCAAGAGATTGCATAAATCATTGGAACTGAGAGCATGTATTTAGATGGGCTGGCACTTTCATTGTAGGAATGCTCATAGCTAAATGTATTGTCTCAAGCTCAAGCTTTAGAGTTCATAGCTAATAAAGTGAAAAGTCTTAAATCATTCCAGGGTAGACCAAAGACTAAGTTAGAGGAAGCTAGGGATATTCTCACAAATGTGATTCTTGCACATATCCCAATGTCAAAGCACTTGCCATATTTTGCTAAATGCAGATATCTTGGACTTATGATCAGAAGAATTATTGAAGCAGTTCATGATCCAAGCAAACTTGATGATAAAGATTATTATGGAAACAAGCGTTTAGAGCTTTCAGGATAGCTAATATCTCTCTTGTTTGAAGATCTCTTGAAGAAATTCCAATTTGATCTGAAGAAGCAAATTGATATTATGCTTTAAAAGAGTAAAAAAGAGAAATTCGATGCCCTGACTTGCATAAGAGCAGATACTATAACTTAAGGACTCGAGATCTCAATTTCTTCAGGGAACTGGTCACTCAAGAGATTTAAGATGGAGAGAAAGAGCGTTACATAAGTACTATCAAGGCTCTCATATATTGCTGCTCTTGGTATGATGGCAAGAATTAACTCATAGTTTGAAAAGACTAGAAAGATATCTGGTCCTAGAGCATTGTAACCTTCTCATTGGGGTATAGTTTGCCCCTCAGATACCCCAGAAGGAGAATCTTGCGGTCTTGTGAAGAACTTAGCTCTTACCACCCATGTAACTACAGATTCGCCAGAGTAACCTCTTCTAAGAATTTGTATCGATCTAGGAATGGAGGATGCAGCATTACTTGGTGGTGATGAACTTTACTCAAAGAAGCATTTCTTAGTCTTTTTAAATGGTTAGCCCATCGGAGTGGTAAAGAATCCTCATAAATTTGTCAGAAACTTTAGATTCCTAAGAAAGAGGGGCAGAGTTCAAGAATTTGTCTCAGTTTATCTCAATGACCATTAAAACAGCATCAATATTGCTTCTGATGGTGGCAGATTAGTGAGACCACTGCTAGTTATTGAAAAGGGTAGACCTAAGTTGCAACAGATGCATATTCAGGATCTGATAATTGGTCTGAAGGACTTCAATGACTTCTTAAGTGAGGGTATAATTGAGTATCTGGATGTGAATGAAGAGAATAATGCATTGATAGCTCTCAATGAGGAAGGACTCACTGAATAGCATACTCATATGGAAATCGATCCTTTTACCATCCTTGGCTGCGTTGCTGGCCTAATTCCATATCCTCATCACAATCAAAGTCCTAGAAATACTTATCAATGTGCTATGGGTAAATAAGCAATTGGAACTATTGGTTTGAATTAGCTAAACAGAGTTGACACACTATTGTATCTTATGACTTACCCTATGAAACCCTTAGTCAAGACTAAGACAATCGAAATCATTAATTTTGAGTAGCTTCCAGCTGGCTAAAATGCCTCAGTTGCTATTATGAGTTACAGTGGCTATGATATTGAAGACGCAGTCATTCTTAATAAATCTTCACTTGATAGAGGATTCGGTAGGGCAATGTATATCAGAAGATATTAAACAGACATCAAGAAGTATTCAAACGGAGCCACTGATATCATTTTACCAGGAGTTACTTAAAAAGACTCAAGAAAGACTTTTATGAATAAAAAGTTCCATGCTTTGGACGGGGATGGCATGGCTAGAGTAGGTGAGAGTCTAGGCAATGGAGATGTATTCATTAACAAATACACTCCGGTAATAAACGAAACTTAAAGTGGATACATGAACTAAGTGGACATTTCACAATTAGAGTTCAAGAGTTAAGCACAGTCTTATAAGGGAGCAAATCCAGCCTATGTTGATAGAGTTATTCTTACTTCTACACCAGAGAACCCTTTTATCATCAAGATGATTACCAGATAGTCAAGAGTACCTGAGATTGGAGATAAGTTCTCTTCTAGACATGGACAAAAAGGTGTTGTAGGATTAATCGTGCCTCAAGAAGATCTTCCATTTAGTGAGAAGAATGGATGGTGCCCAGATCTCATCATGAACCCACATGGTTTCCCATCAAGAATGACTGTAGGTAAAATGATTGAGTTGATTTCTGGAAAGGCTGGTGTGCTTAGCGGAGAATTCAAGTATGGCACAGCCTTTTCTGGTGATCCAGTTGAAGAAATGGGAAAGATCTTGATCAAGTATGGCTATAGTTTCGATGGAAAAGATTGCTTAATGTCTGGAATTACGGGTGAAATCCTTCCATGCTTTGTTTTCTCAGGCCCAATTTACTATTAAAGATTAAAGCATATGGTCTAGGATAAAATGCATTCAAGAGCTCGTGGACCAAAGTCTGTACTTACGAGATAACCTACAGAAGGTAGATCAAGAGAAGGAGGTCTTAGACTTGGTGAAATGGAGAGAGATTGCTTGATTGGTTATGGAGCAGCAAATTTGATTATGGAAAGATTAATGATATCTAGTGACTAGTTTGTTGTCTATGTATGCAATAAGTGTGGCTTTATTGGTTACGAGGGATGCTGCGTATATTGCAGTCCAAATCATGATAATGTTTGCAGTGTCAAGATGCCTTATGCTTGCAAGCTTTTGTTATAGGAATTGCAATCTATGAATATTAGAGCATAGATTAAACTTACTGATGTTTGATGACTCTAAGAAAGATTAATGGCTATTGAGTCTAATTAGCAATATTAAAAAGTAAATCACTTGATTTTTCAATAAGATATAAAAGTTATCTATTTCGATCTAAATTTGTAATGTTGGGGTTTTGGGGTTTTGGGG